TTGTTGTGAAGTTCAAATATGTGCCTGTTTGACGGGGCGTTTGTGGAGCTTAAAAATAGCTTATTGGTGCTATAAGCTCGATTTGCAATTTTGACTTGTTTGACATGGCTTATGGTTCATCCCATTTATAGCTGAAAAGTAAGATTGAATCGCACGATTGGAGAAGCTGTTGTGAATAGCTTATTTCTGATTTTCACCATGCTTGTGAGAATCTCCTTCATTTTATTCTCTCTCTCTCTCTCATACCTAAAAGCATCTCATTTATCCTCCCATCAACAAAAGAGGGGTGGGGCGGCTTTTTTTTTTTTTGGGAGGGGGCATAAAACAAACTTGTTTTTTTACAATAACTATAAACATTCTCGTTTTGAAATAATTTAAAGTTATTATATCATTTATTTATTTATTATGTATCACTTTATATTTAAAATATTTCTTATAATTTTTTTAAAGTTTTTAATTTTAATTCACTTATTAAATTTCACTTTTTCATTATATTATCTCAATTTTTTTCATCTTTCACTTTATATTTAAGATATTTTTTATGATTTTTCTAAAATTTTAAAATTTAATTAAAGACTTCTTCATATTAAATTATTTTAATTTCATTGTATTATGTAAAATTATTTTATTATCATATTTTATTATTTATTAAATTTCATATCTATTTTGGTTATTTTATAACCAAATTTACATTTACTCAACTATAATCCAAACAATTTTTTACCAATTTCACTTTTGCAAACTAGTTTTTTTAAATTTCAATCTAAATACAATTCAACTTATCCAATTTAGCTTTTATCTAACTTCACTTCTTCATAAATTACTTTTTCAATAAGCTATTTTCCCAATTGCTAATCCAAACAGATCTTAAATCATGTGCAGGCGAGCCCTTATCATTTTCACTTTGATTTTTGTCATCTTGGCTGCATATTCATAAAAATACTACACAATCAAATTAATTAATTTTAATATATTAGAGATGTTAGTTAAATTAGTTGACGTGATATTTTTCTTTAAAATACTCAAACATCTTTTTTAATTCACTCCCTCAATCTCTTGCTTGATTTTTCTTGGAGGATATCAATATAGTTAATTTAAAAAAAATGATAAACATATGAAATGCTATCTCTAGTTTTTAATATAAAGTTTATTTGATTTTTGTTTTAGTTATAAATATAAAACTCTAATCCATTTTATCTTTTATATTTATTTATTTATTCTAAGATAGTTCTCATAATAATAATAGCTCTAGGCCTCTAACTAATATATTTGATTTGTAAGGATATTTTAGTAGAGACAATACATATTTATTATCAATAATTAATTTAACTAGTTTTCTTAATATACTCAAATTATTTAACTAATATTTATATTAAAAATACGAAGTGAAACGTCTTACGTATAGAATCAATAGTTGAAAATATCAATCGGAAAAAAAAAAAAAAAAAAACCTGTACATGAAACATGACCACCTAGTATTTGCCTTCGACATTCTTCCTTCTTACCGGCCAAAATTCTAGCCCTAGCATTTGAGAGTAAACTTTCCTCCTTCGCGACGCTCTGTTGTTACCTTTCTGCGGCCGCCGTTTTTCGCTCTACACTAATCATCATCAGTTCGTTCCCAAACCTTGTTTCAGGTGGGGTTGTCAACAAGATTGGTCGAAGCTCGAGGTCGCCATTTATTCCTTGTTCGGGAAGTAGTGACACTAATTTTACCATTGGCATCTGAGTCCCTTCTTCTGGATTTCTCGTTGACAATGCTGAGATCAGCGTGATATGAATTTGAAGGGGGCGCTCTCTCATGATTCGTCTTCTATCAACAGTCTCACGTTGTTTTCAGACCTTCTCTAGAGGCATTGCTGCAAAGCCCTTGCAAGCATTCGCTCGCGCCGCCTGTTCGACTAAATGTCTACCCCAAGTCAAAGAGGCAGAGGAAGACATTACAGCTCAACCAATAGATTCTGTTCAAGTTTTGAGGAAATGGGGTTGTAATAATGATGATTTGGCCAGAATTTTTGAACGTAACCCACAATTGCGCAATGCTGATATTGCCCTGATTCAATCGAATCTCTCTGTTCTTAGTCGCGTGGGGCTAAAAGCACCAGACTTGGTAAGGATCATCCATTGTAGGCCTAGGTTTCTTCTTAGTAGTCGGCTTCATCGTTATTTTGATGAAAGGTTTGCATATCTTGATTCCTTGTTTGAGTCAAAGGAATTGCTTAAGAGAGCCGTCGTGACTAACCCTTCACTGCTAATCTATGATTTTAACGACACCATTAAACCTGCTCTTGCACAATATCAAGAATTGGGTGTAAGCAAAGAAGATTTTCTTGCCTTGATCTGTACCCGGCCCACAATTATTCCAAGGACTTCATTTAATGAGGAGAAGCTTGCATATATACGCAAAATGGGGCTTTCCCAGAATGCAAAGTTGTATAAATATGTGGTTGCAATAATCGGGGTCTCTCGGGTGGAAACAATTCGTGAGAAGTTAGCAAATTTTGCCCACTTTGGGTTCTCTGATGATGAGGTATTTGATCTTATCAGACGGTCTCCTCTTATCATGACACTATCAATCGAAAAGGTTCAGAGGAATATGACGTTCATATTGACCACAATGAAGTTTGATGCTAAAACAGTTCTTGAAATCCCACGTCTCCTGTTTATAAACTTGGATACATTGTTGAAGCCACGAGTTCTCCTAATGAGGAAGTTACAAGACATGGATGGTAAGTTGGAATTTACACAACATTCAGTAATGCGTGCTGTGAGGATGACCGAGAATAGGTTTGTACGGTCATTCATTGAAAGCCAGTCTAAGGAAGTTGCCGATGATTTAATGAAGTTCTATACGAAAGCAAAAGAATTTAAGAGCTTAGCAGGGTCAAGAAAGAGGCTTGTTCAAAAAGGCTTTCCATTTTGAACCCCTCTCATATGTTTGTCATAATGTTGCCGCTTCAATTGAGATCACAAGTCATCTGATCTTCTTTCACTGGTTCAACATAGATGGGGTTTTCCTGGAAACAGGATTGTCAGTTTTGTGTTTCATCTGGCAGTTTGGAATTTATTTCTCCATTCTGGTTGTTAATGGTGACTTGGCATTCAGGATGTTATAGGTAAAGAAAGGACACATTGGGCTTCAGGGTGGGCAAATAGTGGAATATAGCTTGGAGGAGGATACTGACTGCACTTGATGAAATTCTAGATGAATAAACTTGGAATTTATCCATAATGGGGTGCTCCATGGTATATCTGAACGCTGAAGTTGTAGGATAAGAAGCCAGAAAATTCTTTTGAATGCATTAAGATGTTCCTATTGAGCTGCATTATCGAAAGCCATCTGAATTTTTGGGCCGATGGGGTAGACCTTTCTTCTAACATAAGAATCATCTTCATGTCTCTTATGTTCTCATCAATTGTTTTGGAAGTATGGAATGTTGCTTATTGTTATTTCTCCTCTTCTGATTGTTATATGCTCTGATTCTAACAGTGTCACTTGCACCGTGAGCACTCGCTACTACCGCCAATGGATAAAATGAATCCAAATTTACAGGCTCCTGTACGGAAAGCACATTCTAGTTAAATTTATAACCATGCAACTTGGACTAAGAACTTGTGAAAGTGTACTGGATCTGTTTCTCTAGCAAGCTATTAGACTTACGTTGATTTCTGGTCAAATCAATCAATTCAATAGCTAATAAAGCTGCAATTAATGAGCTGATTTGCTTTCTTCATCATTCCTCTTGCATTGTTGCCATCTGCATCAGACTTCCTTTTCCTGATAATCGCGCGGTACCAACTCTGAACTCTTTTCCTTGGGTATTCTAAAATCCTCCCTTCAATTCTCTTTTGAATGCAACTTCTTATTAGAAATGTTAGAAATGCCTGCCTCCTTCTATTACATCTAAAGCCATCCACTATGGTCTTCGGAAAAGTCATTTTCAGAAGCAGTAGTTGATGAAATTCTCTTTAAGCGTTGCTTGCCTCCAAGAGTCTTGTGTTCCTTATCCTATGTTACAGTTCTGAGAGCTGAATAAAGGTCAGCTAAGTTGAATGTTTAGCTCCTTTTCTCCTTTCTTATTGTCGCAATCCTTGAGGATTTATTAGTGTTAACAATTGAACTAACATGTGGCCTTTCAAAATAGACACGCTCACCTATAAATATTCTTAATCAAGGTGAATCAAAATGAAGCTAAGCGAATTTCACAATATATACATTTGATAAGTGTCAAATATTCAATTTTATTTTAACAAATTGCAAAATTATTGCATAAGATTAAATTATTAAAAAAAAAATCCCCTTTTACAAAAAAAAATTCACGGAATAATCTCTGTGTCGCGTTCAATAATTTCTTTATTTTAACTAATTAATAGGTTAATGGATAATAGTTCAATCTTTATGACAACATTTTCACTAAATATATTATAATTTATATAAAAAGGTATGACACATTGGATTAAAATCGTAAAATATATCAGCGCTCTATTTGAAATAAGTAGCATTAAAAAAATTAAAATAGTTTTTTAAAAGTAATATTTTGTTTTATTTTTAGGAAATACTTGTTTTTTTTTCACGTGAATTCACAATTTAATAATAATTTTAAAATTAAGATCCATGCCATGTGTAATTAGATGACTTGTAATTTTAATGGGCTAATGGGCTCATCGGAGTATTCTTCCCGTTTTCGAGTCAAAATGATAAGCGATGAGCTCTAGCCGCCATCAAGCGCTTCTCACTCGGGTGGCTGATAAGGATTCAACCTGGACGCTGCTCTCTCGGTGCCATTGCTGGCTCTGCGAGTTCACGTTCTCTCTATCCTCGAGTTTCTTTTTCTTTACACTAATCATTGCTTCGTTTCAAAATATTTTCCGAAGGAATATTGTTTGCCATTATACTTGATGGAGTACTCACTGTAACCTGATCTTGCCATTGCCTATTTGAGTCCCGGTCTTCAAAATTTCTGGTTGAAAATACTGAGATGAGGTTGGCTTGAATTTGAATGAAATGCACTCTCATGCTTCGTCTTCTACCATCTGTCTCACGTCGTTTTCTGCTTTTTTCGACCGCAAAGCCTTCGCAAGTATTCATTTCTACCACCTGTTCGACCCAATGTCCAGCCCAAGTTAAAGACGCAGCTAAAAGCACTACAGATCAGTCAACGGATGCCGTTCAGGTTTTCAGGGAATGGGGTTGTAATGATGATGATGTGGCGAAAATTTTGGGACGTAACCCACATTTGAGCAATTCCGACGCTGCGTTGCTTCAGTCGAAGCTCGCTTTGCTAAGTCGCTGCGGGCTAAACGCACCTGACCTGGTGAGGATAATCAATTGTAGACCTAGGTTTCTTAGCAGTCGGGTCAATCGTTATTTCAACGAAAGGCTTGCATATCTTAATTCCTTGTTTGAGTCCAAGGCATTGCTTAAGAGAGCCCTTGTGACCAACCCTTCACTCTTAATCTATGACTTTGACAAAACCATTAAACCTGTTCTTGCACAGTATGAAGAGTTGGGTGTAAGCAAAGAGGACTTTCTTTTCATGACCTGTTCCCGGCCCACACTTATTTCAAGGACTTCTTTTGATGAGGAGAAGCTGGAATATATACGCAAGACTGGGCTTTCCAAGGATTCAAAGAGGTATAAATATGTTGTATCAATTATTGGTATCTCTCGTCTGGAAACAATTCGCGAGAAGATAGCAAATTTTGCCAAATTTGGTTTCTCTGATGAAGAGATATTTGAGTTAATTGGGCGGTCTCCTTTTGTCTTGACACTGTCAATTGAAAAGGTTCAGAGGAATATGACGTTCGTATTGGGCACAATCAATTTAGAAGCGAAAATAGTTCTTCGTAATCCACATCTCTTGTTTTGCAACCTAGATACCAGGATGAAACCACGGGCTCTCCTGATGAGGAAAATTGAAGACATGGATTCAAAGTCAAAATGTCCACAAACTTCTATGGCTACCGTTCTCAGGATGAGAGAAAAAAGGTTCATAAGGGCATTCATTGAATGCCACAGTAAGGAAGTGGCCGATGAGTTATTGGAGTTCTATATGAAGGCAAAAGAAGTGAAGAGATTAGCAGATTCGTCAAGGAAGTGTGTGCGTGTAGGATTTCCATTTTGAGTCCCACCCATATGTTTGCTCATAATTTGCAGCTTGAATTTAGATCATGACACATGTCTTAAATTCGTTGTAGTTGTTGGGGGAATTAATGATTTTGCGACTTTTTCTTTCTGATGCTTGATAGTTCATGCTGGATTCTGTCCCTCCCGCTCTGTCTTCTAGTGAATTTTGCTCTCTGGTGCGTTTATTCTTCAGTTTTGCGGCTAATAACTTGTCTAGAAGAACTGGTAATGGTTGATTTGGGTTTCAAGATTGAAATCATAATGGAACAAGTGTAATAGGTAGGTGGGGTCTGAGGAGGGACAAATGTACTAAGGAGAGACAAATGTACGCAGTTTCACTCTCACAAGCAGAGAGAATGTTTCCTTGAGCTTATCAGATATCAGTGCCAACTATTTTGGTCAAACGTTGCCTTGTAAGGCTAAGCAATAGGCAACCGCATGTCATTCCCATGCATAGTGATATCCATGGAATACTCTGATGAAGTTTGTGAAATCTAATTGTTCTTATTAGTCCCCTCGCCAATCTCATTCTTTCTCATTTTGTAAATTTTTTTAACTTCTGACAAGGATCTTTTCCTCCTGTATAGGCCTTGCGCCTTACTTGGGATTTATTTATGATATTATACTGTGAATTTTAAATCAAGCTGTTAGTATAGCCTGTATATATACTTGATCTCAGAGAAAGAATCCTGCTTCTTTAGCAAATTGGAGCGACATAGGCTTACATTGATTCCTTATTCAGCTCTCTGTTAATATTTTGCAAGTAAATTGTAAGTGAATTGATACTATTGGTGGACAAGCGCTAGTTTTAATATGTTTAGAACTAAGTTTTATACTATCACACCCTTTGTTTCTTCAGTGGGTTGATAGAAAACAGTTTACTTCATTTTGCCGGCTGTTTTGTGCTGTGCCTGTATTTTTGTTATGTTGGATATGGAGCTAGATCTAAGGGCCATTTTCTGTGTATACGCTCTTAATGGAATTCATCTATCTGCCGGCTTTTTTTTTTTTTTGCTTGTTGTATCTTAATCTAACGAGACCTCCTAGTCAACAACATATCTAAGGATTGGGTTGTTGACAGAGCACGATGGCATCGTGTGATTAATGTAGCCGACCCCACCTAGTGGGATAAGGCTTGTTGTTGTTGTTGTTGTATCTTAATCTGATTTTATGTTGTATGTTGGATTGCATGATGATGATTAGTGATGATATGTAAATTACTTAACTGATGTGAAGAAAAAATTGAGGGTCATGTGACGTCTATGGGGTAAAAATCAAAATGCTGCAATGTACAATTTACCACTTGGTAGTTGGATCTTTAGTATTACTAACCGGACATGCCAGATAATGGGTGAAGTTCTTATTAATTTTTACTTGGAAAACAATAAAAGAAAGAGCTTTTTCAATTATAAAATAATCATGGGACATAGACGTTGTTAGTATTTGAAGATTTATAGCTGGGTTCCTTGCGAAAGGAGGTGTTCAATTTTAAGCATATAACCATGACAATCAGTTGCCTTTGTTTTATAATATTCATAATTGACATTTTAACACGAACCCTTTTTTTCCCCTGTTAGATATAGATATATTTCTATTGGAGGCGATGCCCACTCACAAAGAGTTACCAATTGATTACAGTACATTATGCTTTCGTTCGCTTAATTCAAATAAGCTATGGATCAGCACTGGATCTCCTTAGTACTGTCAATCCTGAAGCTTAGATGATGGTGCTTTTGTAGACTTTGCACAGTTTTTTAATTTATATATATATATGTGTATATATATACACTCCTCTGTTCTTAATATAGAATTTACTTGTTGAGTTGATTTTGGTTCTAAATATAAAATATTTTATCATATTTATCAGTTTTTTCTTAATTACCTCTATAGACACTTCCTCAATCATAATCAAGTAAAATAAGGAGAGATGATATTAAAGAAGATGATTATGGTATTTTAGGAAAAACATGTCATATTTCTTATAGTTAACTAATTTACTTAACTTTCTTAATCTAATCAAATTAGTTAAATAAGTTTTATATTTAGGATTGGAAGAGTATATATATACTCCCTTTTCACTCAAAAACAAAAGAAGCTATAAATCAAGATTTTATACAATTAATTACTCTGTGTATCTAAAAAATCTAGTTCACTGTGAATAAATATTTGATTATAGAAATTAATTTTGGTTTTTAAATGAAAATTTTAATTTTGAAAATTCATACCTAAAATTAAATTAAAATCTAGTAAAGTTATAAGAAATCAATCAAAAAGTATCCGGCCAGGCGGCCAAGAAATCAAAGCATATAGTAAAATTAACTAATAAACCATGAATAATTATTATGTTCGAAATTATCATAATATTTTATATTTATGACTTGACTGATAAATGAAAAATATTATTACTTTTGATATATTACTTTTTGTTCTATAAAATCAGAGAGAAGAGGTTAAAAAAATATTATATTTTCTTAATGACAACTATACTAATAAAACAATTTTTTAATTGTTTACTTCATCATTTTATTTTATTTTATTTTTTGCAGAATGATGATTCAAACTGATTTTCTTAAAATTTTTGTTTTTAAAATTAAAATTTACCAATTTTCTTCAACTCGTAAATTGAATCAAAACGCTAGTCTTGTTTTCTATTGATGCGTTTCATCAATTTCCACCTCTTCAGTCTTCAGCTTCAGAAAACGATAACTGAGGAGCTTCTCCGTCACACTCAGCAGTCTCTCCCTTTGGCTGCTTTCATTCTTTGACGCACCTCACTCTTCCAGCTATCTAAGGCGACTTGCTTATATGATCGTTGAGGGATATGGCATCTTCTCTTCTCAGAAGGATGTTGTTGGGTCCTCGCCTCATTCATTCTTCGAGGCCCCAAATACTCACTTCTTTCTTAAATGCAAGTCCCATCTTTTCATGAAATCTCATCTGGGTTTTCTTTTGTTCTCCAATTTCAGTATGGATTGTGTGTATATGCGTGTCTCTTTCATCAGCCTTGATTCTGTGCCTGTGAATTAGGAACTTTGCTCCTGTGCTCATTTGTCCTACAGTGTTTAGTTCTGTGAATTGGTTTTCCATAGTTTTTGTTTTTGTTGGTTTTGGAGTCCTTGGTCTGTTAGGCTGCGTGACTCATTTTCCTTGTTTAAGTTCTCGAAGTATGATTGAGTATGAACCAGACAGCAATTAGCAAATTTATAACTGCTGGTTATGCGCGTTTTGCATGCCCCTTCCCATACGAATATATTGTTTATGCATCCTGCTGAAAGCCTAATAATATTCGGCAGTTTTAATCTGACTTTTCGCTTTTGTGACTGTGAAATTGGTGATGTCTGTTTGTCATCAATTGCGATACGAGCCGGAAGTTTCGATCATCATGCAAAATGGTTTCTTGCGCTGGTTCTTACATGATGCAGTACTTAAACGTGACGTTGGGATTATATATATTTGATGGTGCAAATTAGTGATTGTGAAATTGGTGACGTCATTTTGTGATGGGTGGTGATGCAAACTAGAGGGTTTAATCAGCATGCAAAATAGTTTCTTTTGCTGATTCTCACATGAATTAGTCATTAAATGTGCATTAGAATTATCTATTGTTTTTTTTTTTTATGTGGGAATTGTTGGCATAAATTGTAGTTAGGCTCAAAGATTAACACATTTAGAGTTATCTATATCAGTTATGTTCCAGCCGTGGTTCTTATGATATTTTGATGAACGAAATTTCAATTAACGCCGTTAAAGAGAAGCATTTTAACTAGTCAGCCATTTAGGAGCTCTACCTTTATGGAAAAATGTTAACTTTTCAATTTGTTGGCCCATTTTTCAAAACATATTATTTCTTTCTGTATTTATGTGCTATAGCTGTTCTTTGACCTTGGTTTCTCATTTTGCATATGTACCTGCAGAAGAGCTCATTTCAATCACAAGCTGTTCCAGCCTATACTTCTCAAAAAACAAGGATAACTGGGTGGTCTCATTTTGTCATGGCTTCCTCCCCCATTGGAACACGAGCTTCTTATTCAACAGTGTCTGTATCTACGGATGATCCTGTTGTTTCCGTGGATTGGCTCTATGCTAATCTTAAGAAGCCTGATTTGAAGGTACTTGCATTTTCTGCTATTCTGAGTTGCCCTCTTGTGTGCAATCTATACCAGAGGCGTTGTAAGGAACTTACTTGATTATTTAATGCTAATTGCCTTTTCCTTTAATCCAAATGGGTGGCTTAACTTCTAATATCGTACGATTATTTATTTCAAAACTTTTCTAGTTTCCATGATTTTTTATTTTTAAAGACTTTCTCATTTTCAGCACTTTCCTTTTTCTTAAAAAAAGAAAAGATTGATGGGGATTAATCAAGATTTCTAGGGGTTTCATATGAATACTTTTTTGATATGCTTGCGAGACAGACTTTGATCAACAGAAATGTGGAATTTCCTCTCAAGCATTAAGCCCGAGAATCTTGTGTCCTTTTTTCGCATGTTATGTGGTGTCAGCTTGTTATTGGAAAGTAGGGAGGAACCCTTTTTGTCTTTGCTTTGATTACTAACTGGTAATTGGGTGATTTTCAATCTGTTGTTTACATATTTTAAATCATTCTGGGCCATATGACAAACCTGTAATCAGTATCATACATTTTTTATGCTAAATTCTTTAATTCTACTAGATGTATATGCATGATCTGAATTTTCCATCTTTGTACTGCCTGAATATGTTACATTACATCAGCCATGAAAATTCCTAAGCGTGTCTAGTCTATTCAGGTATTGGATGCCTCCTGGTACATGCCAGATGAGCAGAGGAACCCATTTCAAGAATATCAGGTCTGAACATAATTTTGTTATCAATCCCATTCTCTTTAGTTAAAAAATTCTAAGCAGCTTATGAGACATGACATAGAAGGGATATGCTTCTGTTTGTGTTTGTTTATTGTCTTGCAATTCACTTCTGTTTATCATTTGGCTATTAGCGTATTTTGTTTAACACAATTGCAACAGGTTGCTCACATTCCTGGGGCCCTTTTCTTTGATGTAGATGGAATATCGGATCGAACTTCAAATGTGAGTGGTCTCTCTTCATGTTATTTATAAGAGTCTTTATTTAAAAGACATTTTAGAATTTGTATATAATTTATGTAAAGGCTGTTATTGACTTTTGCTACCTTATAAAAATGAAATCTTTGTAGGTCTTGCTGTGCAAGATGATATCGTTGAGATTTTTGTGTGAAGTTTTTCAGAAAATATTGTCTCTAAAAGTTTGGTATCTGTTTCAAAGCAACATTTGCTACATATAGGAGGAGGTAGGCCTCAAGAGAAGCAGCTAACCAACGTCTCCAAAAGGAAAGGATAGGAACATGAACGCAAAATAAAGACTCATAATACTAGAAACAAATGAAGAAATAAAACAATTTGACTTCACCCCATTAACACCTATAGTTTTACATGATTCTTATGAAAATTTGTTAACTAAACCAAAGAAATTAAACATCATGCGATATTAACTGGCAGTAGACACCTAAAATAAATTGCAAGAGTAAATAAAAAATAGATAGATAAGAAGATTGATCGGGAAATATGATAAAAGCCAGCCAATAATTGCATGATCTATTAGAGCCATTAATGCTGTTAATTACATGATAACTGATTTCAATTGTAGTGGATTCTTTAGATGCAGTGGTCGCTAACTTTTTTTTTTTTAACCATTAATAGTTCACTATGTGGATCTTATAAATTTTTTCTTCATGTGAAAATATTGATAACTTCACATATTCTCAATGCATTTATAGTGTCAAGCAGTAATAAATGAAAGCTTTCAGCAATTATACATGGATTTTTTAAGTAAATTTTGATTCTATAGGTTGATATGGGCGTTTTTAATTTGCCTCTGCCCATTTTATGCGTTCCTAATTGCTTGCTATTCTCTAGAGATGTGCTCATTTTAAATAGTTTTATTCTTAGGGAATGATTTTGCACTTAATGTTTTGAACTTCCCTGTATTTTGATGCAATTTGTTTCTCCAGTATATCTAATCTATAACTATGACTGGTATCAGCTACCGCACATGTTGCCATCAGAAGAAGCTGCTGCTGCTGCTTCTGCTCTTGGCATAGAGAA